GTTGTGTGTAAATGTGTGAGGAGGAGGAAGGAAGAACATGGCAAGGAGCAAGAGGAGGCATGGAGGAACGCGGGGGGAACGTGGGGGGGAAGGAACAAGGGAAGGCGAGGGGCGGGGGATTCGGAGAAGAAGAACCTCAGGGGGAAGAAGGCGGGGTCGAATATGGGATGAAACGAGGGACGGAAAGGAGGGAGAAGGTGTGGACGCGGATGGGATGGAACGCAGGACGGAAGGGAGGGAGAAGGCGCGGGGAATGTGCGAAGGAGGAGGAGATGGCAGGAAGAAGAAGATGGCAAGTAGGAGAAGGAAAGGGGAGGGAGGAGTAAGATGGTAAGGAGCTGGACTAGTAGCAGAAGGAAAGAGGAAGATGAGGAGTAAGAAGATAACATGGCAAGGTTGTGTGTGTGTATGTGAGGAGGAGGAAGGAAGAACATGGCAAGGAGGAAGACGAGGCATGGAGGAGCCGGAGGGATACAGGCAAAACATTTCTCCTAGAAAACGATTAAATAAAATATATGAGGCAGGTTACAAACACAGTTCTCAATCCCTACATCCACGCAAGGAAGAGGACCTTTTTGTTGTCGTTCTTGCCTGGACTCAAGATTCTAGGGCTCTGTCTGTAACCTTGGCTGAGGAGGAGGACGATGCAAAGAAGATGGATAATATAGGCCTACATTAGCCTTTGCAAATGACATAAACGAAACAAGTCAGCCAGGTTACAAATACAGTCTCACATCCCTAGATCCAGGTAAGCAACAAGAAGAAATGAGAAAGACACATTCTTCCAGTGTTTCTGTTCTTAGACATAAATTCCACCTCGAGCACTACATGTTCTTCTCCCCCGACCACTACATGTTCTTCTCAGACCTTTAAAAAACTGTATTTTTTATTTCGCTGTCATTGTTATTTGAATCGGAACTATAGGGTTATATCTTTAACCTTGGTTGTGGGAAGAGTAAGGATACAGGCCTACATCTTTCTAAAAAAATGACAGAATTACAAGAAATCTGGCAACTTATTAATAAAACCATAAATCTGTCCTGCTTCGATCCTCGAAGGAGTGTATTTCTTATTTATTTGTAATCCAAGTTTATAGCTCTATACTTTTAAAAATAGCAGTTTAAGATTTCAAAAAACATGCAAATCATAAGAGTTCTTCTTATAGCGAAATTATCAAAGACAATTCGTTTCTCTCTCTCTCTCTCTCTCTCTCTCTCTCTCTCTCTCTCTCTCTCTCTCTCTCTCTCTCTCTCTCTCTCTCTCTCTCTTTCTCTCGCTCTCTCCATGTTTGTAAATTTGTGTATTCGATACTCCTGACGATTTACACTGGAACCACGATCATTAAGCAACTACGACGCTGCTTGACGCTCCTTTCTCTCTCTCTCTGTTTGTATCTGTATGTTTGCTCTCTGAGCTACGGCGACGCTCAACGATGGAATTCCTCTTTGAAATTATTTTTTGCCCCTCCCGACCTTGCGGAGTCTTTCTCACAATTCAGAAATCTTGTAACGGGCGCTTGGCGTTCAATATTGTTTGTTTTACCGGGTCGTGGCTCTCTGAAATTTGGTCGCTAGCTCTCTAAAATTTCAATTTTCGAGACGACCGTTGGCGGGAAATCTAAATTTTAACGATGTTCTTGACGACGATCCCAGTGGCTGGACGGTTAGAATTATTTGTTTTGGCGGGAGTCCGGGCTCTCTGAATTTTTGTCGCTAACGGTCCGAGAATTACACTTTTGCAAAAAACTTGGCGGAAAATTGACAACTTTTAAAGATATTCTTTACGGGCATCACAGTCGCTATCCGCGCAAAAATTGTACTTCTCCAAAATCCGTTGGCGGGAAATCCAAAATTGCGAATGATATTCTTGACGGGGGTCGTAATAGCGGGTGTTCTCATTTTATTTCGATTTGGTGTCCAAGAAGTCTACGCCCGTTAGCGACGCTCTTTCGGTCGTCCTCTGGCACACTTTCTCGCGCTAACACTGAGTCTTCTCTTTTGTAGGTGACGCCATCGTCATTTCTAGATGCCAGATAGGTTGTCGTATCATATCTTCCATGTCCAAGAAGTTTACGCCCGTTAGCGACTCTCTTTCGGCCGTCCTCTAACACACTTTTTCGCGCTAACACCGAGTTTTCTCTTTTGTAGGTGACGCCATCGTCATTGCTAGATGCCTGATAGGTTGTCGTATCATATCTTCCTGCCATGGATTCTTTAACCGAAAGATGTACTCAGAGTACTCACAAGATTAACCCCGTAAGATGGTTTCCAGACCTTTCTCAATGTAAGAAGAGTGTTGATGCCAAGAGTGTCAAGACGAAGAATGGCAGGTGGTTTTCGGACCTGTGTCAATGTTGTACACGCGGAGGCGAGAAGCAGAACCCTCTACCGAAGCTCAGTGCAACTGGTGAGAAGACCACCAATGTCTGTTTGTTTCCGAAGCGTCCGCGATCGAACACGACAACAGGAATAATTATTGCGCCATGCCGAGCAGCAAACACAGTGATGGGTCTCTGCGCAACTGGCAAAACGGGGAGTACAATCCAGATAGAGCGCCCAGGGAAGCGCCAGTGCCCGAACACTGAAGGCGAACAATCAAGAGAGAGAGACGATGTACAAGACATAAGCGGGAACTTTGTTGTGAAAGAAACGCTCTACGGCAGTGTGGCGCAAGAATTGCGTGACAACGACACTGAGGAAGAGGAACCTAGTAACGACGATGATGAGGAGGGTGAATCGAGTGACGACGATGAGGAGGAGGAGGAAACGAGCGAGGATGCCGATTCAGAAGACACAGACTCTGAGGATGATGAAGGGAAGACCGAATCGGGAATTGATGTCGACATGTTCAAAAAGAGTGTATCTGGAGATCTTTTAGGAGAAGCGAAGCAGATAATAGCACATGACGTGAGAAGAGGACTATACAGCAAATCAAGCAAGAGTAAGAAACCTCCTTACAACTTGGGAAAGCGCGGCCGGAACGTACGTGTGTACAACAAGAAAGCTAACCACCACGTGAACATGAAGAATGTCGAACTGGTTCTGAAGGAAAATTGCCACAAGGCCAAATGTTACAAGAAGTTCACGGCGGTAGATGTTTTGTACAAGAGCGAAGAATTTTGGGCGATGAAACAACCTGAGCAACTCAACTTCTTTCTCGCAGAGATAAAGGTTGCGTCGTACTTTTCGAATGAGGGAGATTAAGAGGTGTTAAGGGTGACGTTCAACGGCGTAAAGGTTTGCACAAAAGCGTGAAGAAAGCTGTACGGATGCTCGACTACACGTGTCGCAAAGATACGCAAAGAATTCAGAGAAGCAAAGGTGTTGTACGAGCATGCAAACAAAGGATCAGTCAGATTATCTGCTTCATCACAGCAAATTCTCGCCTGGTTGCATGAATATTTCTGATACAATACTGAGAGTATGCCAAATTGTGACCAGTTTCATCTTTGAGATACTCTCCGGCGCAGAGACGTGTACGACTTCTTCAAGCAAGACTGCAAAGAGCTCTACACGAATAAGACTCTTCCTTCCCGTTCCAGATTTATGACCATTTGGAGCGTTCACTGCCCGAAAGTTCTTATTTCTGCATTGAAGAGGTTCTCAGTCTGTTCCACATGTCTGAAATTCAAGACAGGTCGTTCACAGGCAACAAGTACCTTCGAACGAGGTTATGACATAACCTCAGTGCTTATTTTCTCTCCCCCTGTCTTCCTGAACCTTCTTCTCTCTCTCTCTCTCTCTCTCTCTCTCTCTCTCTCTCTCTCTCTCTCTCTCAGTGTTCATTCTTCGATGTTTGCCACAACGCGACTGATTGAAGTTGTTTTTGCAGAAAGGAGAGGCTGTGACTTGCACATTTACGGAAGGATTCTCATGAAACTCTTCTTCGTCACTCTTATTTATTTTTCTTGTTCTCCTCTCTCTCTCTCTCTCTCTAAATGTTCTTCGTGTAGAAAGAAAAATTAATATAGTGTCAGCGCAAACTGGGAAGGATTCTTATGAAAGTAGAAAGTTTGGTAAAGAAATAGTTAAACGTTTTCTCTTCGTCTCAGTAATAGTCCTATAACACTTTGTCTCTTATTCGTCTTCGACTTTTCAGAGTTAAAGCCCTTTACCACTTTATCTAATAATCGTCTTCGTGACGTCTGCGTTGCCTTCCCCGAACTCGTCCAGTCAATCAAAACAGAAATTTTGAGGAAGAATGAATTGAAGATTCAACGACGTTTGTAAACTCACTTTTCTGAGTTTTAGCCTAATAACACTTTGTCTAATAATCATCTTCGACTTCTCGGAGTAAAAACCCTTTTACAGTTTATCTATTAGCCGTCTTCGATTTTAAAGCCCTTGTTATTAGTGACGTTTGCATTACCTTGCCCAAAATTTGAATTTTATGATGCACGACACTTTTGGACTGACTTTCCTGAGTTATAGCCCTATAACACTTTGTTTAATCATTGCTTTCGATTTTAAGGCCCTTCATCGCGCTTTGTCTCTTTTCTTTAACATGTTTTGACAAAGTAACCGCTTGTTTTGTTTTTTGCGCAGAAATGTTTGGCAAGGCACTAGAGAAACACCGGTTAATGCAAGCAGAAGAGAGACAAAAACTCAGTAAGCATCGCCACAAGGCTTCAAGTCATCCGTCAGAGTATGTCGCAATGATCATTGATGGGATGGATCAGAGCAACACTATACTGCCACACTTCACTAGGGTTCCAAAGGATTCGAAACTAAAAGAAGGGAACTTTGTGAAAGTTCACGTGGTTGGGGCTAAGGTGCTAGAACTCTCATCGAACGCCTCTGCAACTGTTTTCTTTGACAACTTCAAATCAAATTCTAATTGCATGCTAACTGTTCTTCATCGTCAGATTTCTCAACTTCCTGTACCATTTTCGAGAGTCCTGTATCTTACACTTGATAACACTTCGAAAGAGAACAAGAACAAATTTGTGTTGTCATATCTCGTGTTCTTGGTGAAAATAAGAGTGTTTCGTAAAGTTAAGTTAAACTTTCTTCTTGTACGTCACACGCACGAGGACATCGACCAGATGTTCAGTTGTTTTTCGAGCAAGTTGGCTGCACATGGTGCGTTCGATCTTCCTGAGTTGCAACACGTGATTAGGGAGTCGTACAAGGTAGAACAAGATCATGGCGTGCACGTTGAGGAGATGACGGAAACAATGGACTGAAAGTTGTACGTTCAGGATTATCTACATAATGTCAGTGATATTAGCATCAACCAACATTTCCGAATCAAGCGCAACGATTACGGGGAGGTGCGCATTTGGAGCAAGCAATATCATAATTCGCAGTGGGAGCCGAACGACAGAGAAGGTCTGGACATCTTCAAGTCAGAGCCAACAGGACAAGTTCAAGCTTCGCCAAAGCATGAAATCCGATCTTTGGAAGCAAAATATTGACTTACTTGTCGGGGTGAGGACGAGAGGCGTGATAAGGTCGTCAACAGTGAAGGTCATGTCCATAATCGAAAAGTGGGAGGATCTTCGAAATTCAAGGTTGACGATGATGTACTTTCCATCGCCGCCTTGAAAGCCAACGTACATACCCTGTCGCATTACGCTCAACCCCACAACATTAAATGGTGGAATAAGTTCATAGCGCAAGAAACTCTCGACCTTGAGGACACAAACCTTAAAGAGCCTTTCGCGTGACCCTCTGTAACAGCTGATGTCAGCAGAGGAGGTGAAGAAGTTCCACCAACCGCTAATGGCTTTGACCAACGCTGGGATGATATTTTCCCTCCAGAGAGACCCATCTACATCGGCGCACGCAAGAGCAGACAGTTTCAAGAGGACAGAGACGGAAAGAACGACGATCTCGAGGTCAACACTTTCATCACATTACGAGCTAGAGAGAGGCAAACCTTACCACATTGGCAAGGTTGTCGACCTGCTAGCAGGTAAACGATTCAAAGTTGCTTGGTTTGCACAACGTGAGAAAGGAGAGGGTTACTACCCTCAGTTTAAGACAAATCCTCAAGGAAAGACTACGAGAGAGTCTTCTGAGGACGTCTATGACTTCAGTTGCGGCGTTCTTTGTTACAACTTTTAACTGAAGACAGACAGGACCCTTTTCTTGCAGACCAGACAAAAAATCTCTGAGATGATGAATTCCATGACAACCGAGGATGTCAACTAGGAAGACCTTCAAGGAACCGATTGCTTCGGAGGTTGGCAGAGAGTCAACGGGATCGACGTCATTTCTGCTTCCGCATTAGACCATGTTTCCTTTTGTCGCTGTTCAACAAATTATCTGAGTTTAGTCGTTAGCGGCTTGTTAATTCGTGTAAATTTGTACAACAGTAGGTCGCAGTTAGCAGTCAGGCACGTGTGACCAACCTTTTTGTTATGAGAGTCTAGTCCTTGGCGGCTTGTAAATTCTTGTAAATTTGTACAACAGTAGGTCGCAGTTCGCAGCCAGGCACGTGCGGCCAACCTTTTTGTTTTCACGATCTTTTCCAATATACTTTGCGGTTTTTCACTTTACAATTTTGAGATTTTGGAAATTGACTCACGATTTGCCGTTTGGGCCCGGTTTTTCAGTTTGCGGTTTGTCATTCATTTTTTGACCAAAACATTTGTCACATGAACAATTGTCGATTTGCGGTCGCGACATCAGTTTTTTTCCACTTTTCGTAAATTTTTGTTAAAGGCCTACAAGGTCGTGTTTGAATTTCATTGAATTTCCACGACGTTTAACATTGCGTTTACAGCGCTTCAAACACCTAATCGATTACGGATTAAAATTCTTATGCTCGCCAAGCTTCATGTCAAATTCTCACAAAATTATGTTATTTTTCTACTCTCCTCAAATTCACATTATAGACCTTTAAGGTCGTGTTAGAATTTTATTGAATTTTCGTGACGTTTAACATTGCGTTTAGAGGACTTTAAACACTTTATTAATTACGGACTAAAAATTTTATGTCAACCAAGAGTCAATTCAAATTCTCGTGAAATTATGCTATTTTTCTACTTTCAACATAGGATTCGTGAAAACCAGAGATCTGGAGAAAACCCAACAATGTGTATAGACAGAGTAAACAAAAATTAAATGATGAATTTTGGCATTCATAATATTCAATTTCAGGGCCATGTTGCACAGAATTCATGTAGAAACAGGTCTAAATGTTGTTCTAAACAAGGCAAAAGACAAATATTACCGAAAGAAATCATTTTTTTTAGGAACGACGGTGACTCTTAATTATAACATCCCAAAATGTACATAAATAGTCACCTCTCTCCGACTCATAAAAACATGTGTGTCGAATGCAAGAAAAATTTGAGAGTTTCTCGTTGAAAATGAGTTGTCATCTGCAAAAAAAACAGAAAACGTACTGATAAAAAGGAGGTGTCTATGTGACAGTTGCAAAAGAAACAAAAAATAACACAAAACAATAAAGAAATTTCTTTCGAGTTCTTCGAACTTGTTTTCAAACCCGAATGTTGCAAGCACAACAACCACTCCTCTAACACGGAAAGACAGATATGAGTAAAAAAACGAGTCCGCGGCTCGTTAGAAAACATTTTGAAGCTGCTAGTCGAATATTGCGAAGAAATGAATAACCATTTGAGACAGTAATGAAAACGTATTCAAAAACTATTTCAAGGAAAAAATAGTTCCAAGTGAAAACGGTTTCCAATGTTAATTATTATTTAGGATATAGTCGTATATGAGAGAAAAGGTACTAATATATTTTTCAGTCTTCGCGATTAAAATAATTGTTGTGCTAACTGCTTTACCAACATTTAAATGTCAAATATTATCGAGGTTTATAGTCCTATACCCGAAACAATAAAGAATATTTATTTCGAGTCTAAATGTTATTAGCAAGTGTTGTGATACTATTTTTCCAACATTTGATTCTTAAATATTTTCTTGGTATATAGTGTTATATCCCTGAAAAAGTATTATATTGTTTTCGGGCTTATTAATTTAAGCAAATGTTATGCTTACCTTTTTTCCCACATTTCAATGTTAAGTATTTTTGGGCATATAATCCTATATCACAGAAAACATAACAGTATATTTCGCAGTCTTATTCATTTCAGCAAATGTTGTGCGGATCATGTTTCCCACATTTCAATGTTAAATATTGTTTGCGAATATAGTCCTATATCACAAGAAACTAAAGATTGTATTATGGAATCTTTAAACATCTTAGTAAATGCTATGCTGACTATTTTTCAACATTTCAATGTTAAGTAGTCTTGGACATATAGTCCTATATTACAGAAAATTAAAGAATATTTTTTTCAGTCTTATTAATATTAGCAAATGCTATGCAAATGGTATGCTAATTATTTTTCAACATTTCAATGTTAAGTAGTCTTGGACATATAGTCCTATATTACCGAAAACTCAAGAACGTTTTTTTTCAGTTTTACTAATATCAGCAAATGCTCTGCGAAGTATTTTTCTCACATTTCAGTGTTCAATATTGTTGGGATATATTGCAAAAAACAAACATCTGTTTCGCTAACATTTCAATGTTAAATAGTCTTTGGGTACTTAGTTTTAAATAAGAAAAAACCTAATAACCTGTTTTACAATTTCAGCATATGTCGAAATGCAAAGAACTGTTCGAAAATGTTGTGATAACTGCTTTTCCAATACTTCGATCTCAAATATTATTTGGGTCTAAAGTCCTCTACCAAAGAAAACTAAAGAAGCTCTATTCCAACCTTGGTAAAAGAATTTGAAGGTAAAACGAACTCCAAGGGAAGTTGTTCAAAGTAGTTGATGGAATCTTGTCAAGATAAATAATAACCATTTGAGACAGTAATCAAAATAAGACAATGCTAAGCTATGACAAGTCCTAAGAGAAAATTTGATATCTCTACAGTGAAAGTCGACTAAAGTTTTTCCGAATGATTTACGAAAGTAACCACATCAGTCAAACAATCCTTCTCGCCGTTCTTCTCGCTAGTGGTCTGACACTCGTTCGCAGGTAACGCCAAGATGTCTTCGCCTTCATCATCATCTACATCCATTGATTCTAACATTTCATAAATTTTCTTCTTCGTCACAACTAACAGAGTCTTGTCCGTCTTCAGATCAAAGTTGTAACATAGAACGCCGCAGCTCTAATCGAAGATATCCTCAAAATGCTCCCTCGTTGGCCTTCCTTGAGCATTCCTCTTGTAGTGGATATTAACCATCTCCTTTCTCCCGTTGGGCAAACCAGGCCACTTTAAAGCGTTTTCTAGGCAGGAACTCAACAACCTTTCTGATGTGGTAAGGTTTGCCTCTTTCTTGCTGCCCGGGCAAGGCTCGCAGTGCGATAAACTTGTTGACTACGAGGTCTTCGTACTTCCCATCTCTTTCTTCTCGGTACTATCTGCTCTTTCTCACGCCAACGTAAACGGGTCTTTCATGAGGGAAGACATCGTCCAAGCACTGACCAACGTCTTCAGCAGTTTGAGGCCTAGAATCTCCTCCCATTGCCTCGTCCTCTACTATTGTTGGCCACTGGAAAGGCTCTTTTAGATTAGTGTCTTCTATGTCCAGTGCATATTGCATTTGAATGAAGTCTTTCCACCATTGAATGATGCGTGGGATGTAGGGCGCCAATGCATTTATGTTCGCTTGGAGGGCGGCCAGTGAAACAACACGATCGTCGACCTTGCTCTTGAAACTCTCCTGTCTGTCGTCGACATCTCCACAAGTCAGCCTAAACCTAGCTTCCAAAGATCGAATAGGATGTTTCGGTGAAGCGCGAATTTGTCCTCTTGGCTCGGATTTCAAGATGTCAAGACCTTCTCTATTATTGGGATGCCAGTGTGAGTTGTGATATTGCTTGCTCCAAATTTTGTCGTCTCCCGCATCATTGCGTTTAACGCGGAAATGCTGATTGAAACTGATATCATTCACCTTTTGCAGATGCTCCTCGACGAACAATTTCCAGTCTATTGTTTCCGTCATTTCGTCAACAGTAACACCATGCTCTTGTTCTGCCTTGTATGACTCTCTAATGATGTGTTGCAACTCAAATAGATCGTACCCATCCAGTAGAGCCAACTTCCTCGAGTAACAACTGAACATTTGATCTATGTCCTCATGCGTGTGACCTACGAGAAGAAAGTTCAACTTGACTTTACTAAAGACATTCATCTTTACTAAAACGACAAGATATGCTAACACAAACTTGTTCTTGTTCTCTTTTGAAGTGTTGTCCAGTGTCAGATAAAGGACTATCGGGAACAGTCTAGGGAGTTGACAAATCCGACGGTGAAGAACAGTTAACATGCAATTAGAATGTCATTTAAAGTTGTCAAAGAACAACGTTGCTAAAGCGTTAGAACAGAGCCTACTATCTTTCCCCCAACAACATTAACTTTTACCAAGTTCGCTTCTTTGAGTTTCGCGTCCTTCGGGGGCCTATTGAAGTGTGGCAGTATCGTCTTGCTCTGGTTCATGCCATCAATAATCATGGCTATGTATTCTCTTGGTTTGCTTGAAGCCTTGTGTCGATGCTTGCTGAGCTTTTGTCTCTCCTCTGATGGCATGAGCCGATGCTTCTCTAGTGCCCTCTCGAATGTTTCTGGCATCAAAGAGACAATTGTACAAACGATTAAAGCATTGTCACTTAGAACACTACAACCCGAAACAATCACCCATTTAAAATAAATATCCACGTTTCTTTTAATATCGATTATTTTTCTGAAACAATTTCTGTAAATACTGCAGTCATTCGTAGTCGTGCAACCGACAGACTGTTTAGGATAAAGCTTTTTAAGTTAATTGCTCCCAGAATGACTAGCAATAAATTACTATTTTCTGTCCACTGTTCTTTTAATGTCGACTATTTTTTTGAAACAATTCATGTAAAGATTACAGTCATCCGTAGTTGCACAACCGACAGACTGTTTAGGATATAGCCCTATAAGTTAATTGCTCCCAGAATGCCTAGCAATAAATTATTATTTATTGAATAATTCACTTATAGTGCCTTTTAGGTGCGCCATCAACTTGTAGGGTTTTACATCAAATAGTCAGTGCGCAACTGACTTAGACTACAACCCGAAACAACCAGTCATTTTAACTAAATGTCCACTTTTTTTTAATATCGATTATTTTTCTGAGACAATTTCTGTATAGGTTGCAGTCATTCGTAGTCGCTCAACCGACAGACTGTTTAGGATATAGCCCTATATGTTCATTGCCCCCAGAATTACTAGCAATAAATGACTATTTTTTTTCCACTGTTCTTTTAATGTCGACTATTTTTATGAAACAATTCATGTAAAGATTACAGTCATCCTTAGTCGCACAACCGGCAGACTGTTTAGGATATGGCCCTCTAGGTTAATTGCGTCTAGAATGGCTAGCAATAAATAATTATTTCTTGGATAATTCACTTAGATTGCCTTTTAGGTGCGCCACCCACTTGTGGGGCTTTGCATCAAATAGTCAGTGCGCAACTCACTTAGAGGACTCTATCTTCAACAGTCAGAACAATCGATTGAAGGGACTCAAACCCGAAACAACCCTAAATATCAAGGACTGTCTCTGCTCTTTCTGCAAAAAGACCAAACACGATGGAATCAGCTTTGAGGAGAAAACGGAGAGAGTCAGAGAGAGAGAGACAGATAGGGAAGGCAAAATTAACGGACAACATTAATATAGCCCTATATCTCTTTGTTTCACGTAAGAATTTAGGCATATTGCTATTTGCAAAAACTTGTACGAAAGAACAAAGAAGCAAGAGAGAGAGAGAGAGAGAGAGAGACAGACAGAGAAGGAGAAATGCACAGGTAACTTGAAATGTAGACAGAGAAGGAGAAATTCACGTACAGCTTGATATGTAGCCTTGTATCCCTTTATCTCAAGTAAGAATTCAGACAGTCTTCAAATTCTTGAACCTTTTGTGTTCTTTTAGCAAAGAGACCAAACCTGATGGATTGATCTTTGAAAGAACGATGTAGGAAAAAATCACAAATGCATGCACGCACGCACACACACACACACACACACACACACACACACACACAGATACCTCGTTCAATGCGTTTTGTTGCCTGTGAGCGTCCTGTCTTGAATCACAAACATTGGCTGCAAACTGAGAACCTTTTTAGTGTAGGAATGAGAACTTTAGGGCAGTGGTCCCTCCAAATTGTCATAAACCATGAACTCGACGGAAAAATGGAGGAGCTGTAAAGTGATGCGCACTCCTTCTCGAAAAATTCATAAACATCTTTGCGTAGAAGAGTCGACGAAAGATGAAATTGGTTGCTGTTCGGCATACTTTCAGTGTTGTACCGAAAATACTCGTGCAGCCAAGAAAGAATATACAACGATGATACAGACAAACCACCCGCTCCCTTGTTACGATGTTCGTACGTGTGCACTCCATCCTTGAAAGTTGCGCGAACGCTTGCTACATGTGTAGTTGAGCATCCGTAAAGCTTTCCCCATGCTCTTGTGCAAACCTTGATGCCATTTAATGTTACTCTTAGCATCGCTAACTCTCCTTCATCTGAGAAATATGATGCAGCTCTCATCTCGCTGAGAAGGAAGTTGACTTGCTCCGGTTGTTTCATCGCCCTAAATGTTTCACGAATGTAATAGACATCTTCTGCGCGAAACTTCTTATAACATGCTGCCTTGCAGCAGGACTCCTTGAGAACTTCTTCCACTCTCTTCATGTTCACGTGGTAGTTTGCCTTCTTGTTGTACACACGCAAGTTCCTGCTTCGTTTCCCTAAGTTGTAAGGAGTTTTTTCGCTCTTCTTTAACTTGCTGAAAACACCTCTTCTGACCTCTTGTAAGGAGGTTTGCTTCATTTCTCTAATACCTTCTCCTGATGGCCTCTTGCCGAACATATCGAAAAAACATTTTTGAAAAGCTCCGTCGTTACTGCGGGCTTCTTCCCTGCTCTCCGCATTGTCGTTCTCCATTGTATCTCCGCCATGATCACAAGCGTTGGCATACATCACGTCCTCTGTGTTTTCTTTCCGAAGATCCACGAATACAACTTTTTCTGAAGCTTCGTCCCTTCTTACAACCTCATCAGTGTTTTCTTCGTCGTCATTCTCGCATACATCGCCTCGAGGAGTTTGCTCATCTGCATCAATATTCACAAATGCAGCTTCTTCTGAAGCTGTAACCCTTCGTACATCATCCTCCGCATCTTCTCCGTCTACAGCTTCTTCTGAAGCCATGCTCGTTCTTACGATGTCCTCTGTCTCTTCTTTGTCGTCAGTGTCGTTCTTACGATGTCCTCTGTCTCACTCGGTTCCTCGCCAGTGTCATTCTCGTCTAACCGTTCTCGAAGTGCATTCGTGCGCCTGCGCTTCCAAGAGCTTGTATTCTCAATCGTCCTTTCTCTTCGGCGGCCAGAGATCGGGAAGTACGATTGCATATGGCGAACTCTCTTCGTCCCTCGGGAAGATGCAGAAACCTTTGTACCCCCATCATCTTTTTCTACCGAACTACTGTCAAGGTGAGAAAGAGTTGGCGATAGCCACCTGACAGTGATAGTCTTGTTACTCTTACTATCTTGGCTTGTCTTGGATTGAGATGGCTTTTGAGGAAACCATCTGACAGTGGTAGTGTTGCTACTCTTGTCAGTTATTGGATGATGACGCCCTCTTTCTTTCAAAGAATACATGTTGAAAAATTTTGAACAAGTTAGAGACGACCAAGAGTGACGTCACCAGAAAACAATACAACGTGATCACTGAAGGAAGACAGACGCTAGAAAGCGGAAGCAATGAGGTGGCCGGACAACGTTCAACATAGTATCGAAGCAATGACGTCGCCGGACTACGTTCAACATCTACTGACAACGTTCAACGCTAGAAAGCGGAAGCAATGAGGTCGCCGGACAACTTTCAACATAGTATCGAAGCAATGACGTTGCCGGACTACGTTCAATATCTACTGACGTCGCCGAACAACGTTCAATATCTACATTCTAAAGGTAGAGCCCGCAGACACCTTTCAACGCCAGAGGAGAACATTCACTGTCCGTGGGACTAAATTAAACGCATTGGATCGTAATCAGCTGCGGGCACCTGATTCCCGCCAACGGTGGCTTTCTTGGACCACATCGGCGAAAATTTTCATGAAAGTGGCTTTCTTGGACCACGACCGACAAAAAATTTGAAGAACCCGCTGCTGGGACTCCCACCAAAACAGGAGTTGTGAGCACATGATTCCCGCCGAGGATTTTAACTGACCGACAAAAAATTCATGAAAGTGCCTTTCTTGGACCACGATCGACAAATTTTTTGAAGAACCCGCTGCCAAGGCTCCCACCAAAACGTGAGTTCTGAGCACCTGATTCCCGCCGAGGATTTCAACAGTTTCTCGGAATGCAAATGTGATAACTGGCACTAAAATATAAGCTGCGATCAATTGATTCCCGCTAAGGATTATCATAGGACTTTCTTACTTCGGCCACAAGTGACCAAAATTTTTGGAGAACGCGGTACAAGGACTTCCGTTGAAACGTCAGCTGCAATCAACAGATTCCCACTAAGGATTTTACCAGCTGTTGAGATTACAAATAGCGAAAATTTTAAAAAGCCCGCTTTGCTGCGAGCAACTGATTCCCGCCAAGTGTCTTGCTTTGACGACAAAATTTAACTTGGAAAATTTTGAATCGCCCGCACTCGAACTCGGAAGTGGATTCGAGTTTGTTCCTCTCTCTCTCTCTCTTGCTCTCTCTCTATCTCTCTCTCTGTGGGAACAATACTTGAACTTCTTTCAGTGGGCAGTACTTTTTAGTTCAAGGGCTGTAACTCCAACCCTGATCTCGTCGTTCAACCAATTATGTTGCGTGTCTTTTCCTCTTCTTTCTACCTTATCATGTGAGATGGAGAAATCCTCTAACCAAATATACATTAGTTTCTCTTTGTCTCTTACAATCCTTCCCAAGTTCTCACATGAGATTCAGAGATTTAGGGCTTTGCAGGGCTTTGGATCAAACTATGCACAAATTTCTCTCTGAGATAAAGGGCTATTTTGTTCCTATCTCTGTATGTTACTGTCCTTTCTTAGTTCAAGGGCTGTAACTCCAACCCTTGATCAGTTTTCTTTGTCTGTTCCTATTCTTTCTAGCTTATTATGTACGATGGTGAAATCCTCTATCCAAATCTACATGAGTTTCTCCTTGTCTCTTACGGTCCTTCCTAAGTTCTTACCTGAGGTACAGGGATTTAGGGCTTAAAGGGCTATACTCCAGTTCTGCAAGAATTTGTTATTTTGTTCCTGTCTTCATCTGTTACTATCCTTTCAAAATTCTTACTTGAGAAAGAGGGGTATAGGGCTATAAATCCAGGTCTGCATGAATTTCTCTTTCTATGTCTGTCTGTTTGTCTATCTGTCTTTCGTTTTCTCACTATCTCTTTGAGAAACTATACTTCAACTTTTTTCGGGGTCTGTACTTTCAATCTTTAGGTTTCATACGTTCTTACCATCAGAAAACTAGTGGTTGAATTGACCCGCGCTTATTTCACCGCAGCAACCATGATTTTAGCGGTGTCAACCGGAATGAACATAGATCACCAGTACATGGGGAGGTTTAGTGTTATTCGGTGTTTAGGCTTCCTAAATTCATACCCGTCTGTCTGTCTAGCTACACTCCAATTGTGCAAGAATTTCGTTATGTTCGCTCCTGTCTTTGTCTGCATGAATTTCCCTTCATGTGTCTTTCCTCTCTCTTTCTTTCTCACTCTATCTTTGAAAACTGTACTTCACCTTCTTTCGGGGTCCGTACTTTCAATCTTTAGGCTTCCTAAGTTCTAACCTGAGATTGAGAGATTTGTATCCAAATCTCTGTGATTGAAGATAAAGTCTCTTTTACGTGAATTGGATCGAAATCTCTCTAGTTGAAGATGTAGGGCTATATAACCAGCTCTGCATGAATTTGTCTTTCTATGTCTGTCCGTCTCTCTCACTCTCTCCATGGGAACTGTATCTTTAGGCTTCCTAAAGTCTTATCTGAGATTGAGGGATTTAGATCTTTAGAAAATGTATCTTTAGGCTTCCTAAAGCTCTGCATGAATTTCTCCTTGTATGTCTGTTCATTTCTCTCTCTCTTTCTCACTCTCTCTGTGGAAACTGTATTTGAACTTCTTTGGAAAAGATAGTAACAGACAAAGAACAAACAGACTTAGGTCTGTTTCTTTTTTGTTTCTTACTGTCTTTTCCAAAAACTTACACGATGAGGGATACAGGGCTATATATCCTGCTCTGCATGAATTTCTCCTTGTATGTTTGTCCATTTCTCTCTCTCTTTCTCACTCTCTCTGTGGGAACTGTATTTCAAGTGCTTTAAAAGAAAGAGAAATTCGTGCAGAACAATCTCAGGTAAGAACTTAATCTCATGTAAGAACTAAGGAAGCCTAAACATTGAAAGTACGGACCCCGAAAGAAGGTGAAATACAGTCCCTAACGAATTTCGTTATGTTCCCTTCTGTCTTTCTCTGCATGATTTTCCTTTCTCTGTCTTTCCTCTCTCTTTCTTTCTAACTCTCTCTTTGGGATTGTACTTCACCTTCTTTCGGGATCCGTACTTTCAATCTTTAGGTTTCCTAAGTTCTAACCTGAGATTGGGAGATTTGTATCCAAATCTCTGTGATTGAAGATAAAGTTCCTCTTACCTGAATTGGATCGAAATCTCGATGGTTGAAGATATAGGGCTATATAACCAGCTCTGCATGAATTTGTCTTTCTATGTCTGTCCGTCTCTCTCAGTCTCTCTTTGGGAACTGTATCTTTAGGCTTCCTAAAGTCCTATCTGAGATTGAGGGATTTAGATCTTTAGGAACTGTATCTTTAGGCTTCCTAAAACTCTGCATGAATTTCTCCTTGTATGTCTGTTTATTTCTCTCTCTCTTTCTCACTCTCTCTGTGGGAACTGTATTTCAACTTTCTCTGTCTTTCCCAAAAACTTACATGATGAGGGATATAGGGCTATATATCCAGCTCTGCATGAATTTCTCCTTGTATGTCTGTCTATTTCTCTCTCTCTTTCTTACTCTCTCTGTGAGAACTGTATTTCAAGTGCTTTAAAAGAAAGAGAAATTCGTGCAGAACGATGTCAGGTAAGAACTTAATCTCATGTAAGAACTAAGGAAGCCTAAAGATTGAAAGTACGGACCCCGAAAGAAGGAGAAATACAGACCCTAAAGACAGAGTGAGAAAGAGCGAGAGAGACGGACGTACAGAGAAAGAGAAGTTCATGCAGGGCTGGTTAAATAGTCCTCTACCTTCAACCAAAGAGATTTGGATCCACAGATATAGTTCCCAAAGAGAGAGAGAAACAGACTTAAGTCTGTTCGTTCTTTGTCTGTTACCATCTTTTCCAAAGAAGTTGAAATACAGTTCCCACAGAGAGAGTGAGAAAGAGAGAGAGAAATAAACAGACATACAAGGAGAAATTCATGCAGAGCTGGATATATAGCCCTATATCCCTCTACATCGTGTAAGTATTTGGAAAAGACGGTAACAAACAAAGAAGAAACAAGCTTAAGTCTGTTTATTCTTTGTTTGTTACTGTATTTTCCAAAGAAGTTGAAATACAGTTCCCACAGAGAGAGTGAGAGAGAGAGAAATAGATAGACATACAAGGAGAAATTCATGCAATGCTGGATAAATAACCCTTTATCGCTTTACATCATGTAAGTATTTGGAAAAGACAGCAATAGACAAAGAAGGAACAGACTTCCTGTATATCTGTCTGTTTCTCTCTCTTTTTCTCTCTCTCTCTTTCTCTTTCGCTGTTTTTATCTCTTTCTCTCTCTGTTTTTTTGTTCCTGTCCTCTCTCTCTCTCACCATCTCTCCCTCTCTCTTCCTCTCTCTCTCTCTCCAACTCGAGATGAACTTCACTTTGTTTATTCCTGTTTAGCTTCTTACGTTAAAAAGAAAGTTGTAGATCCAACTCTGCATGAATTTAAGTTATCTCAGACAAAAGGATAAAGGTTCTCTTTGTTTGTCTGTCTGTCTCTCTCTCCCTGAGTCTCTCACTCTCTTTGTGGGAAGTGAATGAATTTATCTTGGTCTCTCTCTCTCGCTCTCATACACACATGCACACAACGAGACAGACTCTCCCTCTTTCTTGGTCCGGCTCTCCCCTCAGATATATGGCTTTGAATCGAACTCGACACACATTTGTCTTTGTCTATTCCTGTCTCTCTCTCTCTCTGAGAACGGTACTTTAACTTCTTTAAGATCCAGTTGGAAAAATACCTCTCTCGCTCGCTCACACAAACA